TATAGATGATGGATGGATGGTTTTTATAGAAAACCTGACTTTCAGACACACTGGCTGCTTTAATGACATAACCATCCTTTTAATAATAAAACTTGCTGCTTGCTTTTGTTAAACTTGAAAACAGTAAAGTCTACCGTAAACTAGTGACTAAATACTTGTGTCACTTTAGTGCCAGTAGGAGGATACCCAGGACTTCATCAGTGTGCGTTAGGAAACCCTTACCTGGGCCTCCAGAGACTTTATCTTTGTAAAGTAATGTTTATCCGCCTCCAGGACGTGTCCACTGGATCCTCACCGCTTTTATTATTGTGTCTGCACTCCAGGAGATCGACTGTCACTCAAACTGGGTCAGAAATTCATCGCTGACAAAAGTTTTTGTCGGTGGCATACTTCTGTTTTCAGCCGTGGTAGATAACCTTTTTTTTATATTAACTGCCAAGGGTTTGTTTTTTTTTTTTTTGCGCTAAAGAAATTGAAGGTGTCTGTTCTCAGGTGCCACGAGGATTTTTCCCAGGAAAGAGCTCCCAGTGTCTAAGAAGCAGTTTGTACTCTTAGTCCAGAGCCTGCACTTGATAGCTCCGCTCTGACTGAGCCCTCAGCTCAGGTGGCAGCCTTCTGTCACTCAGCGACGCTCGGGGCTACTGACATCTTTCTGGATGAAAACATCGCTGAAGGGATCCGGTTACACTCTACTGAGTTTTTTTCTAGATCCATATTTTTGTAAATTATATTAATAATAACATTTACATGATTTGCTGTGTGACTTTACTTTATCTGAACAGTTATAAACAAAGCTTTGGTGTCCGACCAGCTCAGTCTCCTGAGCTTCTTTTTCCTTTTTTTTTTCTTGTACACAGCCGACACAGTTCGATTGAATTTCACCTCTTGTCACTCTGCTCACATGGCTTCTCCTCAGAGCCACACCGACCTCACATGCACACACACATGTACACACACACAGAAACACACACGTGCACACACACATGTACACACACACAGAAACACACACGTGCACACTCACATGCACACACACACATGTACACACACACAGAAACACACACGTGCACACTCACATGCACACACAGGACACGTGGTATAAAGTTATGAGCAGTGGGCAAGTTGTGACAAGGTCCTCATGCTAGCACCTGGCCACATGCACGTCTGTGTGTGTGTGTGTGTGTGTGTGTGTGTGTGTGTGTGTGTGTGTGAGAGAGAGACACCTAATGCCTACACCTCTAAGACACACACACGCTGTCAGGAATACAGATGCGTTCCTGGGTAGCTGTGCACACACACACACACTCACGTCTTTTCCTCCGGTGAGCTCAGGTAGCTGTCAGGCGCTCCCCCACAGGGAACAGTGGGCAGCTCAAAAACAGCCTCCTCGCCTGTCACTCTGCACACACACACACACACACACACACACACACACACATGCACATGTTCACACAATGTGCTTCAGTGTGAGGACTGAGACAGAATGAGAGGCCTTGGGCAGATGCTGGACCAGTTGTCGATGCTGCACACAGAGACTTTGTGTGTTTTTGTGTGTCTATCAGACTGTCGGTCTGTCCGTCCAGCGCCGCTATGCCACCTGCCAGTGAGTCCAAGTGGACACGCTGCCGTCCGTCTAGTCCTGGCCTGGGAGCCGGTGATAAGGAGCAGCTATGTGTGGGTGCACGTGTGCGACATGCGTGTCCTCGGCTGTGACGCCGGCTGCTCACCTCTCCAAGCAAGGAGACTTTTTTTTTTTTTTTAGAGTGGACTTAGATTTTTGTCTGCTTTTGTCCATTGATTTCCAATCAGGCTGGCTACCTGTGAGAGCTTGCCATCTCTTTTAACAGCCCTCGACGCTCAGGCGAGGACGTCACGCCAGCTGGCTGCCCAACAGCCCTTTAAGTGGTGCAGAGCCACAGCAGTTGTAGCTGCCACGGTACGGGTCAATTACTCTCTGAGCTGATGTTGTGTACACGTAGCACAGAACCACGCACGCACCGCCTGTTTGCTGAGCGCATTCGGCAGCCTCTGACAAAGTTTGCTGTTGTTTCACACTTGATCAAAGCTGAGGAGTCAGTGGGAGGTTTAGGATCAAAGTCTTAGAGTTGTTGTTGCTTGACTTGCGGAGCCTTGAAGTGTTTGGCGAGCCCGGGTGCGTCTCCGTGTTGCCGTCCCTCCGTGTTTTCCTGGACGGCGGATCATTGATGTTTCAGAGACGGTAGACTCTTGAGAGGATAAAGACGAACTGTCCACAAGACTGCGTACCAGCCTGCCGCCGGCGGATTGATTTTAACGTTGTTGCTGATTTTTTTTTTTTTAAAAATCAGAAAATGGACGTTTTTCCAAACTCGGCAAACGGCTCAGCATGCCCTCCAACACGCTGTGCCGGCTCTGCATGGGCGGGCAGACTCTCCCTGAATGAATTGAGAGCATCTGTTTGCTTTACGCAGGATCACATTTAATCCCTGTTGCTCTTCTGTTGCTGAACTGTGCAGAGTTCTCCACAAAGACCCCCATCGCTGACACATGTTGAGATGAATCTGCTCACACATGTCTGTCTGCCGTTAAACAAAAACTTGCTTTAAGTTTATGCACGGAAACTTCTGTAGGATGACTTCAGACGGAAGCAACTTTAAGTTTGTGTTCATGTTGGTGTAAATGCAGCTCAGACGGCTTTAAGTTGTGACATCAGGATGTATTCAAATATAATGTTCTTACGTCTAACTCATTTCCTCCTTGTCTTCTGTCTCACAGGCTGCAGAGGGATGCTGTGTGGCTTTGGGGCTGTTTGTGAGCGCGAGCCGTCCGACCCGTCCAAGGCCGAGTGCGTTTGCAAGAGACTGGACTGTCCGTCCCTGGTGGCGCCTGTTTGCGGCTCAGATTCGTCCACCTACTCCAACGAGTGTGAGCTGGAGAAAGCCCAGTGCAACACCCAGCGACGCATCAAGGTGCTGCGCAAAGGACCCTGCTGTAAGTACCTGCCGT